GTCACAAAGCACAAAGAGATGCAAAACATTCAAATATTCTTTTGCCAGATTGAAACAAAGCCCACCTGAGGTTTGCAGGAGAAGAGACTTAAACTCCTCCTACAAACTCAGTCTGAGTTTGTAGGAGGAGTTTAAGAGCGAAAGATGCACTGATCCTCAGGATAGCCCAGCTTAAAGATAAAATATAAATAATGTTAATACGAAACAATATTTCACAAATAAGTGTAAACACCATAAACAAATTGTCCATCATGGCTGATAATGCAGGAGTTTGTAATAGATCCCACTTTCCTCTGGATTGTAGTCTGTTAGCTTTAGTCAGACAAGACAGCATCCAGTCAGGTTCAGTTTCAAAATGCTCCTGAAGTTAAAGAAATACATGGAGACGATTTAGTTTGCTGGGATATGGACGGACATGTGTTTAGTGAGAGCAGCAGTTTGTTGTTGCCCAGTTGATTCTTTATGACAACAATAAATATATTTTTAAACAATGATTCATGTTCAACTCCATATATGAAATGTTTCTGATATTTCAATTGTGGTTGTTTGCATTTGATTGACTTTGTCTGATTATAATTAAAGTGAGATCCTTCTATTGTGGAAGTAATGAGTCACTTCCCTCTCCTTACCTCACCCAGGTAAGGAGAGGGAAGTGACGGAAAATGCCATAGGTCACATCAGATGCTGGAGAGTTGACAAGAAAAAAAACCTCTAAATGTTAGCTCACAAAGCTTCAGTTATAGTATACAATCAATTGACAAATAATTAACCAAATTTGTATAATCATCTCCATCAGCCTGGAGCACAGGGAGGAGAAATTAGACGCTCTCCAAGAATACAACGACTTTATCGAACTCCTGGAGTCAGTTGATAGGCGATGGTCCAGCTTGGATGCGATGTTGTCCCTGCTGAAGATTTTACACCAGCAATTTAAATCCCTGCGAAAATCTCTGGATTTCAGCCAGAATAAGGTGGAAACGGTCGCTGCTAAAAAGTCCTCGCTACGGGACTGAGTTAAGTCTGTAACTGAGAATGTGACCCATCATAATACAGAAAATAAATGCAGGCCTGTAGTATGAGAGAAAACTATGTGTTTTCTGGTATCTCGGGTTCTGCTGAAGAGGATGCAGAAGCAACTAATTAAAAGCTGCGATCGAGTCCATTGTCTCAGACCTAAGAGGGTGCCGGGAGACAGCATCCTGTTGTGGCCAAATTCGGACATTTCAAATAGAAAGACCAGCGAAGAGTTGCGTCAACTTGGACTTCAGCATAAACCACCATTTCCCTAAAGAGATCCTGGAGCAACGCAATGTCCTGTTCCTAAGTCTTCATTAATAAGGGCTCTACGTGGACGGACAGCTCTATCGTGACCCTGCATCATTCCCTGGTTATATTAACATCACTGCAGATTAGAATCTGAGATGTTGCTTCAGACGCCAACTAAAGTAAACAGTTCTGTGAAAATGAATTCTTGCTGTAGAAAAAGTTCAAAAATATAAAATTTAATGTAAGTCAACAGCTTTACTACAAATTAGTTTGGTTTGGTGGCATCCTATTGTTCGTGCAATGCCATAAATGTTAAAGTGCAATACTATGTTGTCAGTTGTTTGTATTTGTGCAACACTTGAATTAAGAAAGCAAAAGTTGTTATATGTTTTGAAAAGGGATATCTGATTAAATATGAAGATTTTCTAATGGAATTGTACTTCTTTGCATGAAACAAGTGAAAAAAACATGGACTTATTATAATTATTAATATTAATAGGTAATTATGTTATGATTGTACTGCTTTGGCCCACTTGACATCTAATAAGGCTGTATGTGGCCCCATGAACCAAAATGAGTTTGACACCCCTGATCTACACTATAAAAATCTGCCTGGAACATCAACATCTGTTCTCTGGGAAGCAGGGAAAGCTATGATGAGGTAAAATAATTTCATTTCATTTTAAAAAGAAAAAACAAAACAAAATATTCAGGGATTAGAAAAAAAACATGAAATCCTTCGAAGAAGCCTTCGTGTCCCAACAGGAACAGGAAATACTGAACAAACTATGTAAAACTCAAATTAAATGAAGTTATTAATAAGACAGTCAAGCAATAACGCTGGATTCACCGCTGACAACTGGTGAACTCCAGCAGGAATTAGACAGGCTATAGTGATTGAGGGCTTAAGATGCAAGAATGTGGAACATAAAAACACTCTTTATGATGTTTACTTTTTCTCCAAAACTCACAAACCACTCTCTCTGAGGTAATTATATTAATAAACCTTTTTTCAAGATTTTCAGATTATTCAGTATCTATACTTCTTCTGATTAATTGCTCGTTTCATAATTCTTCTTCTACACCACTGCAGTCTGAAAATGTAAACCCCCGCGTGTTATCTTAAAAAGCTACAAAGGACCGAGGACAAAGAAGGACTAGATCTGCCTAACTTCTTAGCCAACAGGCTTAGGATGGTTAAAACATACCCTTTCAGATGGGCCCTGGCTAGACGTAGAACAGGCTCTAACAATAACAGAGAGATTTTGGAACTACCATTTATCAGCTCAAACATCAACTGGCATCAATATCAGCTCCTTCCTGATAGCATGGTGGGAGTTTCTAAAAATGATGAGTCTTCATTAATCCCTGCAAACATTCACCTATCTGGAACAAACCTGACATATTACAAAACAATAATATGATCAACTTCCCAGATTGCAGTTGTAAAAGAATTAAATACTTGGAACATATATTCTAAGGAACAGACTTTATTCCATCTGACAGGCTAGTTATACAGTGTGGGATTAACAAGAATAGATTTTTAGAATATCAACAAATTAAATCCATAGTAAAAAAAAAAACAAACAAAAAGGAATTTAAGGCTAATGAAGTTAAATAACAAGCACCATCACAATTCCTTAATCTTAAAACCCCCAAAGTACTGTCTAAAATATACAGGACAGTCTCCATAATAGATGAATCTTCCTATTGCAAAATGGGAAGCAGATTTATCAGTCAGTTTAGGCCAAAAGTTCTGGTCTCAGATATGCGTAAAAAGCTTTAAATTGATTAGAAATCCCAGTATAAAACTAATACTATACAAAACACTACATAGAGTGCAATATACAGGTCAGTGGATGTTCAGGATAGTTTCTAACAACTGCTCACACTGTCACGGGAATACACCTAGCAACAAGGTGTATTAGGAGGATACAGATAATTGTCAGGCAAAATGTCCTCAGTTTGATGAAATAATCCCCTCCCATAATACACCTACCGTAGCACAACACTGGCTTCATAGACATTTATCCTTTCTTACTTGAACAAATTGATCTGTTGGAGGCTGGATGAGTCACTTTGGTAATACAACTGATAAACAGATGTCTTGCCCAGAGGTGTGTTATAAAACTGAGTTTTGAACCCCCCCTTAATGAAGTACCAGCTGATCTATTTGTTAAGGCTAGTGTTTATTTACGGGATGTTTGTGTATATATATACATATACATGTACTTTGACATTGGAGTTGTGTCATTTATTTTTATTGACTATTGCTTCTAATTATTTTGTATTTTGAATACTACAATTGCAGTTTTTCCTCTTTATGTTTTACGTTATTGTGCTAGTGATGTTAATGATGGTAACTCGGTCTTCTTCTGGGCTCACTGGTGGCAGTCAGTGTGCAGAGTCAGGGTAACAGGCTTCATGTTAGCACCCGGTTTGGTAGTGGAGTTATGGACAATTGAGTGCGATCACTGAGGGGCTCCATACTGTTCTGCATCCTCCATCTGTCCCCTTGTTTCCCAACTTAATCTTTAGCAGGACAGGTTGATTTGTTTTTCATATAATCAATAAAACCGTGGATAACAGTACAAATTCAATAGTGCTAACCCTTCTTCTTCAGAACAGCTGTTAGTAAAGCAAGTTTACAATGATGATTAACCTCAGCCACAAGATGGCAGCAGCTGGTCTGAGATCCTTTATCGGAAAGAACAATTCAACTCTCAGGTGTCATCAGAGACAGTCTTCACTTTCAGAGATGAATTCATGCCTGCACTGCCTTGTTGGTCGTAAACATGGCATTATGAGGTTCTTTTTCTTACAGAGAAAGCAAAGACAAAGAGGAGCCGGGAGGCGTGTAGAGAAAAATATTGGAGCTTTATTTAGTATCAAAGCGGAGCGTGTCGTCCAGCCGGAGGAACGTCTCCGACTGCTTCACATGGAAACGTCAGCAGGACGTTTGTAATGACGGAGCTTGTTTCATCAGCTTGTTTTACTTCATTTACAGCAGAAGAACTGAAAGTGTGTGGAGGGGAAGGGATTTAAAGGAGCAAAGCGCTGTTTTTAGAGCCTTAAAGAGAAATCACATTTCCAGTCTGAATCCTGTAAACTTCACACGATGATCCAGCATGAACCTGCATTCACAATCACTTCCTGTGTGCTTTAATTCAACGTCTTTTCACCCCGCTGACAGTCTGTTCGTCGCTTCATCTGCACGACGTCATTAAAGCCCAGATTCATTTACTTTAAATGACTTTGGGCCTCTGAAAATCTGAGAGCTAAAAGAAGAATTTACGAGGCCCCGTGAGACATTTGTAACTAGCGCTCACAGAAGATGAAGCCCTGACTTCTTCTTCATGTGATTCATATATTTCCTGTTTCACACACACTCACAAAAAAGTGTTTTGGATGAGAGACGTGCTGCTGATAGACGCAATCTGCAGATTTCAACCCTGAGTTCAAAATAAACATTTTATCTGTAACTTAACTATTTCATTAATTCATCACAAATATAACCAATCACAGCTCAAGCAGGGTTTATTGTGAAGACGACGCACTAAATGTAAGTGACAGTTACCAGAGGAGAGATTAGAGTAACAGCTGTGGTTGAAACTAAAGAGCTCCAGCAGAAAAGCTAAAATTGCTTCTTTAAAGTAAACGTTTGTCTTTAAACCGTTTCTAATATTAACACTTATGATATGTGACTGAATAATCAGCGGAATGAATTAAACGGCTCCTCAGAAATAAATAGATTTGTTCTTTTTGTTTGTTTCACATTTGAAACACTAAGTAATAAGCAGTCATTAAACAGCGGTTAGCAACAGCACTCGAAATCACATAAATCACTGAACTATTATTGACAAAAATACAAAATTCACAACAAATACACTCAATATGAACTGAAACTAGAACAGGTGTGTTAGACTTTTAATTTGGAAGACATTCTTTTTTTTCACATTAAAAGTCTTCCAGGCTGGGCTGCTCTTCTCAGGCTTCAATGTACAAAAGTTTAAAATCTGAGGCGTGCTGCATGTAAACATCTGTCTGAACCTTAACTTTGTCCTGTTATTACAATGATTCACAGTATGATGGCTGAGTCTTTCTGAGTAAATGAGCTCAGACTCACGAGGGTCCTAAAGACTGAGCGACGGTCTGAGAAAGGAGGCGCGTTCGCAGGATTTATGATTAATGAGCCGACAGCAGGAAGAACAGCGCTTTGTCCCTTTAAACCGGGGACTGAGAAAAGCAGCAGAGACGAGAGACAGCAGCTGGACGACCGACAGGAAGAGGATTTAAGACTTCATCTGACAGGAACCAATTATCAATATGTGATGGATCAGCTTCATCGACAGAGACGGGAGTAAACAAACAGGCGATGTGCTGCAGAGAGAGAGGGAAGAGTCCAGACTCCACAGGTACAAGTGTGTGTGTGAGAGAGTGTGTTGGGGGTGTGTTTTGAAGGCGATGTGCCCCTCCCTCCCTCCATCGGGCTCAGCATCTCTGGGGTCAAAGATCATCACATGCCCTGCCTGATGCTCTGGATGATCTGGAAGATGGCTGCAACAAACACAAAGGAGGCATTAGCAGCAGGTCACATGACACAAAACTAGCTCATCCGTAGACACAGAGAGACACTGTTTTCTTAAACACTCTTAAACTGTATTATTGCTCAGTGAATCAAACCTGGAAATTGTGGCACAAACGTTCAAAAAACCACAAACGACGCAAAGCAACGAGCCACGATCGCTTCCTGCGTTTTACTCCGAGGGCTGGAGGCCTGCCAGCCGCCTGTGTTTGTCACGTAACACTAGCTACTGTATTTTAAAGAAGATAAATGTTATGAAACGGAGGTACCAAACAACCGTGTGCAGCGGAGATAAGATCGCATGAATCATGTGACGTGTGAACGCGCTTGAAATGATGGCGAGGTGATGTGCTCTGTTGTCGGCTGCAAATGCAGAAGTCTCTGCGTTATCACTCTGCAGCTGCTCGTGTGGTTTCACACGTGTTCCTCAACAGCGAGCCTCCTCACCAGCTCGCAGTGGAGTCTTAAACAAGAACACTAACCGTCCAAAGACTCCGAGCGCACGCAGTCACGACGGACGTGTTTATAGCAACGTTTCTGTAAATGTAAATAAAAGCACCGTTTGTGTTTCATAAGCTCCTCGAGTCTGTGAGGACTAACTATGAAGCAAAGCCGCAGGGACACAGTGTGGTTTAGAAACCTGTCAGTGAAATAAGCACAGGTTTCCACCTTAAATGAGCCCGGGCTCATTTAAGGTGGAAACCTGTGCTTATTTCACCGTCAGTGTTTCTTCAGGTGTGGATGTTCCTGAGCACACGCAGGATCAGGTCGGTTTCTAATGCAGCGCTGACACCAACATTCACACTGTGCAGCCAAATCCATCAAGTCATGAAATCTCAATGACGTTATGAACCACATATGATGGAATCCACAAACATCTGTAAGAAAGTTGTTACTGTTCAACTAACGCAGCCACCAAAGATTCAGCTTTTTTCAGCAACACGATGCCAAAGCACATTGTTGTAAAAGAGCCCAGCTGCTACTGACCAGCATGTAGACTTGAACGGTCGCCCACTGAACTTTATAAAACCCAACATATGAGCAAAGAGCTGCTTGAATCCTAGATAAAGTGAAAAAATGAAACATTATGGTTTCAAACCACAAGCTTACAACCTAAGATTATGAACACGTAAAGAGTTACGTTAGAAGAACAACGGCCACAGCTCAGTGGGAAACATGCTCCTCTATGTCTCCATCTACCTACACGGTTACCTTCTAAGATATGTGCAGATCCACCTACTGACAAACCTGCTGCATCCATCTACCAAACTATGTTCCCACCTACTTATCTACCTATATACCAACCCATATCTAACTACCATCATACCCTCTACCTGCCTAAAATCTACCTACATAGGTGTCTCTGTACCTAAAGCCTCTATCTATGCACCTACCTGCCACTTCTACTTTGGCTCTCGGAGGAGGCGGACGCACTTTTCTCCTCTCCCTTATCTTCCCTGCTAGTTCTTATGTCCTTGTCTATTCTCGTATCTTTTTTGTATTACTTTCCCTGGAACACTCTCTCACAGTCTGTGTCTAAAACCTAAAGAGAATTATGGATTTGATCAGCTGGTCTCTGAATGCTATTGACACCCTTTAACGAGAAGTCTGGGCTCGGGAGAACCCGGGTGCCCTGGAAGGACTTTCCCTGCCAGATACACGATGGACGGGTGGCAGAGGATCGTGTGCCTGGCGGGACTGTCGATCGAGGACGCTGAAGATATCTACCTATTCGGAACCATGATAACAGGGTTCTTGCTGATCGGAGCTGGCTTGGCCCTGGCTTATCGGAGAATTAAGAGAGCGGAACCGGCTGTTCAAACCCCCACAAGGCTGCCCGCTGGGATTGGAACGACAGGTGCGACTTCTCAGAAAGGGCTCACTGAAGGCAGCATGGTTAAGAGCTTGGAGGCGCTTACGACTGCAGTGAATGCTCAGAATAACACCTTTGAGCGTATGTATGTTGGATTACATCGGGAAAGAATCAACTCAGAACAACATCTCTGGGCGGAGCTGGATTACATCTCGGATCAGTTGGCTGCGGTCGTGAGGTCTCAGAATCTGCTATGTGAGCAAAAAGAGTGACAAGACCACAGAATCGATAGCTAATAACATCACGGAGAAGCTCGCAGCTATTAACGGGAGACTGAGAGACCAGTGTCGGAGTGTTAAAAACAGCTTGAAATTCTCAATTACCATCATAACCCGGCTACCCCTTCGGTGCCAGCTCAAGGCTGGAGCCGAACAACAACTCCCTGATAACGACTGTGTTGAGTCTGTTCCTTCCCATTCCCTACAAGGCCACCTGGGTTGGCTGGTAGACTGTTTACTTAGCCTGATAGGGTGAAGGACACTGTCTCAGCTGAGCTATGGACACGCACACACATACATATACTGATAAGCACTCACTGACGCATCACCCTCCCTACCCCGGATCCAACGCCACCTCCAACGCTTACCTCCCCTCTGATGTGGACATCAGGTCAGCTGGAGGCGCAGTCGAAGATTGTAGCGGCCCCAGATCAGATGTACACACTGGGACTCTTTCCCATGTTGCTTGTCTGTGTTTATTGTGTTATGGTGTGTTGATACCTGTGCATTCCTGTATTATCCTTTTGTGTTGCACATTTCAATGTTTTTTTTTCCTCGCTACCTGGCCTGACCTGTCTCCCCAATGTGATGTTTGTATTGTATGTACGGTCGGTAAGGTCTGTCATCTTGGTTGTGGGCAAAAGACCTGCAACTGACAAATAAAGGCTTTCTCATCATCTCTCTCATCTCATTATACCCACCCACCCATTTACCTACCTACTTAACTACCTGTGTAATGATCCATATACCTACCTACTGATATATGACTTAATCTACTTTACCAACTGTCCTGTTTATCTTATCCATAGGCAAGTGTTCATATACTTACCTATGGATAAGGATGGATGTGCCTGCCTATCTACTGAGGTATTACAACTAGAGACACCCCATTAAATTTGATGATCAGTGCTTTAATAGAGGACTCTTAATAGCTTTTTATCTTCAGAGGCTTTGATTGTGATTGCAGTAATAGTAACGATCGCAGTTAATCCAAAAAGTAAAGCAAACATGTTTCTCTCTCTCCAGGTTTATTGTCATGTTAACGAAGAGTGTTGAGCCTTGTAATACTTTTTATTCACACACATGCTCCTAAATAAATGTAGCAATCTGCACATGTATTTTTAGTCGCAAATGTGAAACTTTCAAAATGTCCAGCACCGCCAGCATCAACTTCCTGTCCTTATTCCAGTAACTCTAATACTTCTTTTAGTATGAAACAGTCAAGTCTTCTGCTGCTGGCAGAAGCAACATTAATCTGCTTAATGAGCAGGAACATCACGGGAAACCCAAACCGGCTCTATGCCTCAAAGCCACGGCACAAACAGAGATTCTATTGTGACCTACAATTAAAAACCAGGCTGAGAAAAGCAGGAGAACTAACTCCCATCTATTTAAAGCGACTGTTTTTTGACATGTGTTACCAAACGCTAATTAGAGATGGCAAGTCCTGACTGGCAGCGATAAAAGTGCAATCTGTCACAGGAAGACCTTCTGACTCCGCATCCTGCAGGCTGAAGACAAAACTTCTGGGGAAAAATGTGACTCAGAGTTTCGAGAGCTGATAGAGTTCTGCAGAAACGCCACAGAGATAGGATCAGCTGAGCGGGAAGCAGAGCCCGTCTGCATCAGCAGCTGTATCAACATCTGTATCACCTGCAGGGGAGAAACTCACCTGATCCACAAACCACAAAGACGAACAGAGCGAGCAGCCACGGGCCCACCGGAGACTTCTCATCGTTTACTGGCCGCTGGAAAACACACAGAGAAACCACGCACCGTCAAAAGCGTCCCGTGGAAGCCTTTTGAGTTTTCCTTCTACATAGAACTTGGTTCTTTTTATTCTGATGGTAATGATAACACCTCGTGGTGAAAACAGGCGTCTTTGGTGTTTTCACAACACTTCTCTTATGATACCTTTACACTGTTTACATTATATGCGACTTTGTTTCACACATTTCACTTGCTTAATCCTGAGATTTAAGCTTGTGCTTCATGAAGCCTCGTTTATGCAGCAGGGTGAGTAAAGTAGAGAAACACGAGGTGAGACAGTTCTAACTGGTTTGTCTACTGCAAGGACAGACGAGCTGAAAAAAAATGACATTTTGTGACAGGTGAGATGGGAGTGTTGGCAGGTCAACGCTAAGAGAAAACCGAAAGTCTCCAACAAACCAAAGACAACCTGAGAAACCGAACTGTAGACAGGACGGGCAAACAGAACGTGCGACAGCCGCTGAATATTTCAGCTAACATCCCTGCTGTAATCGTCCCGTTTCAAAGACTTCTGCTAGCAAATGAAAAGATTTCTGTGGACAGTCAGTGTTTACTGTGTTCACCTTAACGTCTGGAGGTCATCATTACAGGGACAAACCCTGACTGATGAGATCCATTCATGCCTCAGAGCTCCAAGCTCTGACCTTTGAGTAATTTTAAACACTAGAACTTTAAAAATGTTTAAATTATGTAACCCTGTTAAAATAAAACCCGTCATGTTACCATTTGCAATATGTGGTACAACGGGAAGGCCACTTATACCTCAAACCGCTGAAGACGTCACGTTAATATAATAATGAACGCAGCGCTGGACATTAATGGCACACGTAGTTGCCTAGTAACGCACACTGTTTACATACATTTTGGCTGCTGTAACATAAGCTAAAGTTAGCTCGATGTGACTGAGCAGCAGGGACCATGTAAAGATGCCAGTATAGCCTCAGCATTGGTTGATTCATGTGGTGCTGCTTCAATGAAATATTCGTTGTGCCAAAGCAGTGCAAATATCACTAGAACTGTAATAAATGTATATTTAAACCATATTTTATGAGGGGTTTTACAGGTATTCAAACATCAAATACTTCTTTGTTCATCAAACAGAAAACACAAGTAGTTCTGTTGTACGGTGTGACACCACCAACTGAATCAAGGCAAACTGTGGTTTTGTCACAGTCGCCCACCACAGACTGTAAATATCCTGAGCTAGCGTGCCTGCTGATGGCACGCAAGCTAAATGTCTCTGAATTTAAGCTTCAAAAGTACAAAGCTGGGTGTTTACAGATGTTTACTAAATCACATCTGTGGCTTCGAGTTCCTTGAGAATCGCCTCACAGTAAAAAATGTTAGGCTGACTCTGTGTGTGTCACACTCATAACTGCTCACACACACACAGCTTTGTGTGCGCTCAATGTTGTTACACCTGCCAAACCAGCCACTCTGCACCAGACTCCATTTAGAAAACAGCTCATTTAACGCTGCTCTCTGTCTGCACGGACAGAATCGAGCATCTGATCTTCATTTAAACGGTCCGAAGCCCTTTGTTAAATTCGGCCTGCGTGTGATTCCCTAACATCACCTTCTTTGACACAAATTCTGTTTTAAATGTGCGCACTGAGCTGCACGCCTCCGCCCACTCCATCTGTTTACACCTCATCACACAGAGGGGATGGACGATTAAAGCCCCCCAAAAGCTCACAAACAGCCGACAGCTTTATATGTTTGTGCCGATTGAACACCACAAAATAAAACTTTAATATATTAGAATAAAATCGTATTTCTATAAATTACAATCGAGTGGCGCGCTAAAACTCCAGCTTTCCTGAAGGACTCTGGCTCTCTTTAAGATGACACACTAAACAGCCACTCACAGTGCGCCAGCAGCGGGACCTCTGTTACTATCCCACCATTTCACTGGTTTTTAACAACAATTACATGCAGCATGATGGCGACTGTGATGGTAACAGAGCTCCGTGGCTAACTTAGCGAGCTAGCTGTTTCCTGGATTCGACTCTAAATAAATCAAATAAACGTATTTAAATGCTCACTTCTACACGAACATCACATCTACAGACCACACGCCGGCCACAGCCCACGGGCTCTAAGTTAACGGGTCAGCCGTTAGCCCTGGTTTCCCTACCGACGTTTTCTGGACGTGTCCCCGCTGTGTGATCGTCTTGCTGTGTCGCTCGTTTGCCACTTTCATCCGCTGCACTGCCGACATGCTTCAGGCTTATTGACCGGTGCGGACCAGGAGGACGGAGGAAGAGGCGGGAACAGCCGGGATCCAGAGGCAGGAGGCTCGCTGGTAGCGGAGGAGAACGTCCGGGAGGAGAGGACAGTCAGCTCGTTCTGTTTCCGTGTTACCGTCAACGGTTTGGTTGATGTTAGCTGAGCGAGCCCTGACCCCGGAACTACTGACCTCGTCACGTGACAGGGAACAGCCAAATGTCTGCATGCTGCCCCCGAGAGGCGGGAACAACCTGTGCATGTCAGAAATTTCACCAGAAATACAAAAATAATTATATATTCTTAAAAAACGTAGAAATATTCAAAATAAATGTAATATTATTAAACAATTACTGAAACTGGTTCAACATGAGGAAGTCTTATGAATGTTTGCAGATGATGTTTTGATCTGTTGGGAGAGAAGGGAGCAGGAGGAGGAGAGAGAAGAGGAAATAAGACAGATAACATGTGTGAGGATGAGGCAAGTGGATAAAATGAACGTGCGAGGAGTAAAAGGAGTGACGTAGATGAGGTTCCTGGGGTCAACCATCCAACTGACAGTGTACAAGAGAGGTGAAGAAGAAAGTGCAGGCAGGGTGGGGAGGATGGAAACGAGTGTCAAGGGTGATTTGTTACAGAAGCAGCAAGAGTGAAACAGAAGGTTTATAAGATGTTAGTGAGACGTGCTGTGATGTTTGGTTTGAAGACGGTGGCACTGATGAACAGACAGAAGGCCAAGCTGAATGTGTTAAGAACGTCATTGGGAGTGATCGGGATGGAGAGGATAAGAAATTAGGAAGAGCAGTTTGGAGACAAAGTTATAGAAGCAAGGCCGAGATGGTGTGGACATGTGCATAGGATGTTAAAAATGGAACTGCCGAGCAGATAAGATGCACTGTGGCAACTCCTAAAAGGAGGATCCAAAAGAAGAAGAAGAAGAAGAAGAAGAAGGAAATCACTTTGAAATGAGTGGTGATTAAATTCAAGTTTTAGGTAACCTGTCTAAAAATGTATTTCTTCTTCTCAAGTTTCAACTTAGACCACCTTAATAATAATAATAATAAGAATAAGAAGAAGATTATCTTTTATTATTTCCAGTCTTTTTCAGTGTGAATGAATGACATTTTCTCTAACAATGTAATGATATGATCATTTTTGTATTTTAACCTTTAACCGGTAAAATTATTAACGCGTCACACATTTTATGATGTGTTCCATACACCACCAACACCATGAACCATCCACTGATGTAAATGGCACTCTGTTCAGAAAATCCTGACCAAAGAAGAATTATAATTAAGAAAACTTGGTATTTGCACAAGATATTAATATCTATCCAAAAGAACTTCATGATCAACTTTTAATAGAGCTGGTCATATCACTGACTTCAACTAGAAGCTTCAAATTATGAGATAAAAGAGAAAAACTGATAAATGAAAAGTGGCAGTGGACTTATCATAAGAAAGCTTTAGGAAATATGTAAAAGGAAGTCAAGTGATGTCTTCACTGTCTGTTTCAAAATAACACTCCAACAACAGTGACACAACTCCAGTGAACTGTTGCTTTCATTATATGTTTCATAATCTTTAGTTTAATAGTTATCAGGTTTATCATATATTTGATAGTCATATGTAAAAAACCAAACAAACAGACAAACAAACAAAATGTTTCCGATGTGAAAGTGCAGCACCAACCTGCTACATTTGACTGTGTTGACGAGGACTAATTTATGACTGTAGGACTATATTATGTATTAAAAAACATTACGGTCAAATCATTTAAATAATATGATTTTTTTTATATAGAAATAATTTGTAACCCTAAAGAGTAATATTTATGAGAAGGTCAGTAAAACAAACAGCTGACCTGTTTATTTATCACAAACATGTTTATGATAAATTAATTTGACGAATACTCAGACACGTGTTTTTAAAAACACTTCTTCCTTGTTCTAGCTTGGTTTTAGTGAAGCATGCTGTGCGCAAACTTAGGTAACTGCACTCACTGGCATCTGCCACATGAGGGCGCACTAATAACACAAACTAAAGGAGTCTCACGTGGAGACAAGGTAATAAACCATTTCCTAAAGAAACAGATGAAATGAACACAGGGTAAAAGAATAACTTTCATTACCTTAAACATCACAGAGCATCTTATAGTCTGCTATAAGTTTTCAAAACCAGATCACAGGCAATAAGAAGTAACCCTTGTGGCAAGGCTAATAAAAGTCTCTCCCGTTTCCTTGCTCATTTGCTGTGATTCTGTCTTTTCTGTTAAACTGCATCTATAAATAACTCACTTTGCTAAATTTCATACAATGGGATAAACCTGTAAAAATAATCCCAGTGAGCCAAAAGCTCAGGCTTCAGACTTGCTAAACAGTCACCTTACACATTACTGTTTACTTCATAACAGCCTGACATCATCTCAGTGGAGTAAGTAATTACAGTAAGGTGAAAACAGTTGAAATTAGGCTTTTATTTTAAAAACCTAGCATTGACTATTATTTTGGTCATCTCATAACATTAATGCATCTTCATAACATGCTTGAAGAGATATTTTGAAACTCATATATCAAAACTTGGGAGCGATGTCACTCTTGAGTTAGCGAGTTCTTAAAAAGTAGGTTTTCTTTTGGTTCTCAGAAAGGTAGAGCGGTCCTGCGCAGTATCTTAGCTGTTCCTAGGACCGCGCTCTTCTGGACAGAGATCTCCGATGTTGTTCTTCTCAAGCTCTTCCCTGAGCCCTTGGTATTTCTCAAGTCTTTAACCTCAAAATGTTTTCCTGGTTAAACAACAGATAAATACATTCCTGCTGTTACAGAGCCATAATATGCATTCCTATTTAGGATTCTTCTTCCTTGTTGGAAGCACCATAATGTCCGTTCAGTGTCACCATAAACAGGAAGTTCACACAGTAAAAACTGAAGCTTTCATTAATATTAATGTTGTAATAAATATCTGTGTGATGTTATTTACCTGTTGAATCAAAGCAACATAAGCCCAGTGAGGTTTTCTCTGTAGTTTATTGTTGCCTGCAGTCCGTCCACACAAACACACACATACCTGCATGTTTAACACATGGTCGTCTATTAAGCTGCTTTCACACATGCCCCACTGTGATCAGCTTTCCAGTACATCACCCGACAGAGACACATGTAAAAGCGCAAAAATGTGCAACACTATCAGATTGGACATTCATCTGTCTTTAACCTGCCATGTCCTGCACACATTATCCAGACTCCGCCCCTCACTGGAGCAACACAGAGTACTTCCTGTAATGAAAAGGCGTGTGAAGCGGATCATTTCCTGCTGTGAGCTAAATGCCTAATGTTCTTACACACACAAATATATCTACATGTTTAAAACATGTTCGTCTTTCACACACACAGAGTCCTGCTGGCTGCACTGGAGCCAGGCGTCAAGGGTCATTAGTACGTTTCCTTTAGTCCTTTATTAGTAAAGATCCAACATGAAGTCTTTGCCCAGTGGAAAAATTCATCCTTCTGGAGGTCAGAGGTCATGCAACGTCAGGCGGAGCTTAGGTCGTAGTGTAGTTACCATGGTGACACATATGTCTAACAGCCCAGACCACTCATGGACCCAATACGGTCCATCTTCATCCCAAAGCATCCTCTCCCTCCCATCATCGACTTGCGGCTCCACCTCCTCATCTTGGTCTGTTGCCGCAGGAAGTTGAGAAAGAACTGAGGGACTGCTTCAGTTCTGCTGTTCACTCGCTTTGCAAGGGTGTGGCTCACAGGCAGTACTGCAGAAGGAGTTGTGGAGGTGAGCTGTCCAGCTGATCCCTCTGTGATGTCATCAAAAGTGGGAGTGGCCAAGATGAGAGTTGAAAGACGAGAGCCAAACAGAGAGTGTAAAACCTGAAATACAGTCAGTAATCATCTGTGTGATTCACTGCCTTTTCTAGTGAATGTTGATAACTGTACCTCAAGTACACAGAGTAGTCAACTAATCAGATTACTCAGATTACACACTGGTCCCACATAACAGAACTTAGAGTAAGCCATATTATATATTTGTTAGTACTCTTGTAACGATGGGTCCATTAACCTTTGCCCCATATTTGAGTCTTTAAAACAAGTCTTTAAAACATCAAACAGATGACATTTTTTAAGTGTCACATTAATCTTCCTATTATGTGTCACTGATCGGTGGAGCACTGAAAAATCTTACACAGACTCACTTATGCTGATGACACCATGCTGTTAATCTAAGATCATCTCTGACTATGAGATCTGTTTCATTGTATCTCTTTATTAAAGCTGACATAATCAATAAAAAGAGCAGAAACTATCGATGAAGACGATGAATGAAGATAATGAGGACAAAGATAATGATTAAAATAAAGGGTGTAAAAAGAGAATGAAGGTAATGATGAAAAGGAAGTTCTCCACTGACCTGTTTGTTGTCTCGTTGAGGTGACGGTTTTAACTCCACAGCAACAGCGAGGAAGAGGAGGAAGATGAGGGAAATGAAAGGAGATGAAGCAGCAGCCATCTTTGTTTGTACAAAAAACATTTAGTTAAAAAAACACACCACCATGACTGTTTTTAACCTATAAGCTTTAAGAAGAACATGAAATAGCTGAGTTACGTGTAGCTCTGACTGAAGGTTATTAAAGCCTACAGCGCCATCTATCGGTCAGAGGATTGCTGTGACTTGATAAAAGTGAATATTGTGGTGAAATAACCTGATCAGGAGATAAAAACTGATTGGGTCAAATTTTGTTGTGGTATTAAAAAAGAAACAAAAATATATTTTTAACATAAATTTGAATTTATTTGTGCATCTTAACAAATTTGTAGCTTTATTCACGTTTGTACAATTCTGTTTTTTTACAATGTGGTCATGAATAGTTTTTTTTATTGATTATTACAGTCTCAGATTACAGATGTAGATTAGAGTCTACCAAACTGAAGGTGTTTAGATTTTTATTATTGAATTCAATTCAATACAATAGAGTTAAAAAACATTTTAAGTAAAAGAAGGCTAGAAAATTTAGACTTAAAATAAATTTTGATTTTTGTTATTTTATTATTAGATATGAATAAATCTTCATTGGGTTATGGGAGTTATTAAACTGGATTATTTAGTAAATTTCAATTTAGATTTTCTTTAATTTGATGAAATATTTTTGAAGTTTAAATGTCATTTTCTGATGTTTATGTATTAGTAAATTTGATGATTAGGACAATAAAGAAGCAGAACTTACTGACAAACAGTTTCTCAAAAATATTCCAACAAAAATCAAAGTCAAATAAAAGATTCTGCTGGTCGTCCGATCAATCCAACTGTTTTTCTCCAATCACAGTAATTGATTATCAGTCTCAGAACAAGTCGTATAAGCTTTTTTTTTTCTTTTTTTAACTATCACTGGTGTCTGTCCTGTCTCATCTCAGGACCAGTCAGTATCTGTGTGCCGGCGGCGGGCTGACACTTTTATACGACTCGGCGCTATGATGTCACACATTCTTACTGCTGTCACCCCAGACAACGGGTTCACACACTCACAACGACGCACACACAGATGAATGTGGACTCAATGGATGCATGTGTTACAAAAAACACTCAAAAAAACAAAATAGATAAAAATATTCAATCGACAAAGTTTAATCATGAAGTTCTGGAGGAAGTTCAAGGAATCCTTGAAGAGGCTTCTTTGGTTTGAAATAGTTTCCTTTGGTGTTTTAAAAGCATCTTGAAGTCCTTGTGGTGTTTCAAAGACCATAGGAGTGTTCACAAGTTTCATGAGGGTCTCAGATTGTCCTCATTGTAGCTCCAGGGTCTTTCCTAGGTCAGTTTGAGGTGTCTTTACAACATTCAATGACTGAAAGGGTTGTGGGCCTCCAGATGTCATCTAGTGACCTGTAATAGAGCTAAAAATGTCTTGGCTTTGAAAACTTTCCAGGTGAGACAAACCCTCAAAACTACTCTCAAACATCTAGATGTTCTTGAAGAAGGCGAAATCTTCCATGAGTAATTAAGAACACAATAAATGGAAAGGAACAGGCTCATACAGTCCTGGAAATGGTTCAGGGTTCTTGAAAAGTTTCCAGGAGTCACAAATAGGTGCAAGTGGTATTTGAACATGTTGTAAAAGTCATGACAGGAGACAGAATGGGCCTCCTTCTACTGTAGTTTCAAGTGTCTATTGTTGTCATTGAGGAAGTTCCGGGAGCACTTTCAGAGTTTCTGGAAACAGATGTTGTTAAAGACGCGATTGCAGTAGGGTAAGTTGGAAATAGTTTATCTGATTTAGTCACTAAAGTACTAAAAGTATAGTAAAGAAGTATAGTCTTTGAAATGTTTCAGGGCTCTTGAAGATTCTGAAGGTAAAAAACAAAACAGAAAACTTTCTAGTTCAGGGGAGTCAAACATAATTTATTTTGTGAACTAACAAATAGTTTTTATAACTATAATTATATAATTAAAGGTCAGTCTGGACAATGACATACCAGAACTTTATTTTTCCAAACACATTTATTTCTAACAATTTAAGCTCAAAGAGTTGTACTGAGAAATTTCCTTCTTTACTCTGAAGAACTTCTAGGAGATTCTAAAGAGCTTTCAGAGGAGAAATGATCCTGCAGGAGGTTTAGGTATTCTTTGTAGGCTAGTTCCACATATACTTGACAAAATTCATTGAGTTAAATGGTTTATTGGTTCAAGGTTTCCAGGAAAAGTTTAGTAAGTTACTGAAGGTGTTGTAGATGTTCTTGAGAGAAAGCCAAAGGATGTGATTGTCCTTAAAGAAGGAGTTCTAGACTTTCTTGAGAACTAAAAGTCAGTAAAGATGTTCATGCAGACTAAAATATGTTCCACAAGTCAGCAACTTGTGGAACATTTTAAGGTACATCGAGATTCTCCAGCAGTTGAAAATAGAGAATCGAGCATGGGGAGAATCAAATAGATCCTGCACGGTCCTCAGGGTCCTTAAGGGAAAATTTGATTTCACTTCCAGGATTCTTCCAGATAGAATGAATGACTCAATCAGTCTTTCAGGGGCTTCCGGGATTCCTGGAATGACTTGGGTCTTTTAAGTGAGATACTTAAAATCTTCCAGGGGAATATGAAGATAATCCTGGAGTCCCAGATTAAGTTCCAGATGTTGAGTTGAATCCTAGAATATTCGGGAGCCGCCATTATAACCGCACCCAAAAGAAAGGATAGCTTCGCCTTTCCCTCCGTCTCCTTGTGACCCCTGACCCCAGTCGTCCCGTCAGCTCGTAAAGCATCACCGTGGAGACTGAGTCGTGGTTTGCAACTATTTCCTGTGGAACGGGGCGGGGCCACAGAGGTTCACATGCTCCGAAGGATAGGTGTGTATGTATGGGTGTGTGTGTCTGTGTGTGTTTAATGACCCCCTGCTGTCTTTGTCCTCATCAGACAAAATCCCGCCCCCCATTCAACCTCACACGTCATCAGCCACGCATAACACACACACGCACACAAGGGCGGAATAACAGATCATCAATCACCTCATTAGAGAGGAAGATGGGTTATTATGTGTGTGTGTGTCAGCATGACAAGCAGGAAACAACAGCGCCTTTACTTCCAAAGAAGGCCAATCACAGGTCAGAGAGCAGCTTGTTCTTAATACAATAACACAATATTTACCTTTGTGTCACTTTCGGTGCATTTCAGCCCGACCAGTGCTGTAGGGCTGCAACACTGCACTGTAACACACACAGCTGCAGTTTTGCTGTTCTTACACAGCGATTGTAAAGTAACAAGTAATTATTTCTAAATGAGTTTTGATCGTTTTCAGAGTGAACTTCGGCACGGCTGCTGCTCATATCCAGGCAACAGGCTGCCTTCAGCCTAAACTCCTCCACCAATCAGCATTGACGTCACACCAGCGTGTGTGTGTGGACATGAATAGTGGACTCCAGTTGAGTGTGGGAAATCTGCCCTTCGTTCACAAGACTGAACACATAAATGTTTCATCTCTTTCTCACCACAGGATTTTATTTAAAGCTTATTTTCATATTAAAGATATTTATTGCTAAAACCTATTTAAAAACCTTCCAGAATAACCGGAAGCTATCAGCAGACCTAAGAGACCTAATCGTGGGCCAAAATAGGCCCTACAATGATGCTTGGAAGGGGAGGAAGAGGAAATGCAGACGGAGAGAGGTATTCTAATGAAGGCCGAATACCCTAGAAAGCACCAAATGCTGCAGGAAAGAAAACTCATCTTTAAAGAAAGAAATTTCAAGGAGGAAACGAGTTGCTTTCCACCACTGGAGACTACCCTTAGAGAATAAGTGACACTGAACTGGCATAATGTCCTTTTAACTTTCATGATCAATGTAGCTGTGGGCAGAGCTGAGCCAAGTGCACTGAAAGAGTTCAAAGATTTTTAATGTTAAATGTTCAACTAGGAAGAAAAACACACTTTAGCTGCTCATAAATAAACAGGGATCCATACACTGGCATATACAAACTGCTTTGAATCAGTTGGTTATTCTTCATTGTGAAGCGTAGGAGTTTATCTGATGTAGTAAAACAGTCGTGCCTCCTGTTACACTCGTCGCACACGTCTCATTTGCATCTTTTCTGACTGCTGCAGGAAGCTGAGAGGGAACCTGCAGCTCTGCAGCTCATCCACTTCCCCTTTAGATGCATTGCTCAATCCTTATGTACTTTCATGGTATAACAACACTGAATGTGCAGCCTAATGGCATGAAAACCAGCCCCTTATCTAACACTCAAAGCTTATCTGTAGAGATCACGCAAGCTAAGATATTCACTGATGCTTATATGGCTAACTATTTTGACAAACAAGGGTTTTAAATGTTTGTCTTAATCTTATAGATAAGACCGAGAAACGTTTTCTTTTCAAATCCTTAGTTTGTAGCACAATAAAAAAATCACATGTGTAACAAGACAGAACTTTAATTCATTACACAAACATTATGTAGGAATATTATTTCTAAATAACTGGACACGGATAATGACATGATATAATATACTACACTATTTCTAACCAGGAAGCTTAGTCTCATGTTTTAGGCTGAACGCGAAAGGTAGATATGAAACCTAAGAGGTCAGCGCATGTGTGACATATTTGAATGGCCCTACATCAGTCCCCGTGTCGTCAGGAAGAAACTCTGTAGCATTATCAACTTAACCTTTCGGGTTGATCAGAGCTTGCAGGAGGTGTCAAATTACACTTTATTTATAAAGTACTTCATGTTGATAACACTCGTTTTATTTTTAAACCACTGTAGTTGTCTAGTTATAAAGCATTTGTCAGTTTGACATCACCAAGTAGTCTTTGAAGACCTTGTTGGATGATAGCCCCATCTTCAAATTGTCAAAATGATCGTACAGACCAGAGGAAAAAAACCCAAAACACTCAGACAGGAAGTAGATTCATAGATGTTGATTCCTAAACGAGTTCTTCAGCCTTTTGGATCCATTTGTGTCAGATCTCATTAAACAGATGCTGATCAATCACCTAGCCAAGCCCAGAGACTGTCTGGTCCATGTTGGTCACTATGAGAACGCCTCACGGCTGGAATCAGCTTTGATAAAACCCATTAATGACTGCTGTGTTATCCAGGCTGCCTTTTTACTGATGCAGTTCAGATAATTGTTGGGTGGCTAAAAATGCTGATATACATTAACCAAATAGAAATGTCAATGGGAGGGAGAAAACTAAAGAACCCAGCCAACAAGGGGACATGAACCCAGAACCTTTGTCCAACCAAAAGTTTATTTTGTTTGTTGGTGTTTGGCTTGATAACTTCCATTTGATTTGTAGGAGTTACAGAAACACATTTGAAGCACACCTGAGGATTTTGAGGTGGAAAGCTGAAGGAAAACTTCAGAATATCAGTCTTTCCTATTAGGAAGCGATTAGTTGTTCACGTCAAGCAGAAGCTTGTTCTGAATGAGTTGTTCACCATTGCTGGTGAGGATCTGTACATGCATGATGCATTGAAGAGCTCAGCTCTTTAAGAAGTTTGAATGTAAAAAGACTATAAGCAGCCTAAATGAATTAAACTCGGAGATGTTTCCTTTTCACTCTTTAATGTTTGTCTTTTGTATAGAAAACATCATTAATGGAATTACATCTAGAGAGACAGTCAAGCCCACTATGACCTCTAACCCCTCACCCCCAGTGGAAAGGGGCAAGAGCCTTCTGGGGTCATCAGGTGTCAGTCAGTTGCCACAGCGACAGGAAGGCAGCATGGTGCTTTAGTTGATCTTTGGGTGGCGGAAGTCTTTGCCAGCGAACTTGGCCTTGTCTCCAAGCTCCTCCTCAATCCTGCAAGTCAGAGGTCATGATTAGCTGTGCTTTGTTTTTCTTAAACGTCTACTAGCCTGAGAATGACAAAAATCCTAAAGTTCTTACCTCATCAGCT